CTCGAACAATGTGATAGTGATGACTTCTAGAGATCATAACTCGGGAAATAGGTGACAAGAATCAACGTCCTAGTCATCTTTAGATAGAGTATAGAATGCCCTTCTGAATAATTCACTAACGAACACACCTAACTGTTTCCTCACCTGCAAGCATACCCCATGATTTCGAGCCGTCGCAACTTCACTTCCACATCACCATCCTATTTCTTTTTTCATACATTCAAGGACCTTCGGAGATCGATAGACGTATAAAGGGGGTTTTCAAGACGGTTGCTCCTGCTAGGTGCACAGTTTACAAGTGGCACTCGAGGTTCACGTCGGCAACTATTCCATCGCAGATGAAGACCACCCGGAACTCTCAGTGGAGTTGGATTTGGACGTGCTGCAGAGCCAGGTGGAAGCCGATCCGTAGCAAACTACTCGTGAACTGGTAGTCACTCTTGGGGATTTAGCCCACAGTTATTGGTGGATTGAAGTCAACCGGCAATTTGCGAAAGCTCGGTCGATGATTGCCTCATATTTGAAGCAGTACGACATTGACTGCCGCGCCGACGTCTCTGTTTCTCTCCTCACGCTCTAGCGTAGGAAACGGTTAGATATATTCTTCAGTATGTATTTGAAATAGCTTTCTATACTCTATATAACGATGCCTTGCTAGTTCATTTTCGTCACTTCTTTCCTGAGTTATTATCTCTAGAAATCATCACTATCACATTGTCCGAGGACTTATGACTCAACCTAATACTTTATATCACTACCAGTCGCATTGCCCAGCTGTCGCCGGGCATGCTCCTTTTTATGTAATGCCCGGCTAGGCCGGGCATCCTCATTCTTATTTAGTAGGATCAAAGATTGGCACAAACAATCTGGCTTTTACTTTCGATGAATATAAAATGAAACTAATTCATTCTAATAATTACTTACACTTCTTAAGACTAAGAATCGTTGTGACTGGAGTTCATACATTCAAAAACATTTGACCCACTCAAAAGTGTCAGACTTAATGAGACGTTCGAAACTGCTTACATCCGCGGAGAGATCAATTTCCTTACCTTACCTTGATAACGGAAATAGCAGGAGTATAATGGCATCAGGTCCATAATAATCATGCGACGCGTATTTCTTTGAAACTTCCTCTCACATGAAAAGTTACAAGTCAGTATGAACCGTGCTCCCAGTCGCTTCATTGAGAAACGCATTCTTCCGGAGGAATATTCTAGCGGAGTTAAAAAAACGCATGTTTGAAAACACATACCGCTCCGGAACTCTGGTTCAAATTCGGGTTAGATTTACCGATGCAGCCTCTTCAAAATTTCAGTTCTGCGGAGAGTGTCAGTCCCTCACCTCACCACACCACAGAGGTTAGCCAGAGCCAGGGATGCCTTCAATTCTGCAAGAACCTGGTTTCCTCTGGAGAGTTGTGCGCTGATGGTCGTTAGGGATATTCACG